TCAGTGCTGTGTGGGTGCCACAAAGGTATTGTACATACAAAGGCATAGCCTCTTGTATTTTAACAATTTTTTTTCAATCTAATAACAAGAAGTAAGGACTGTCTATCTTCAATATGGGGATTCTCTTGGTGCAGAAATGCACTTTCTCCTCACTCTATTTTTGATGAACATTATTACAACAATACTGAGGGTCACTCAGTATTGCAGCAAGGTGAAAAAAAGAGGAAATTCATAGCCAGGAAAAGGAAAAAAATATTAGCAAAAGTCCAAAATAGCTTACAGTTATTCCCTCAACAACTGCAAGAGATCACTCGGAGGTTGACAGGGAAGGTGGTTAATACCGTCCCTCTCCCTGGAAAAAAGACCACAGTTGCTTATCTTTTGCAGCAATTTATATAGAGTACCAGGGGCTAATCCCGCAACAAATCCCCCCAATGCACTGTGCCAACTAGATCCAGGAACTTCTGTAGAAGGAGAGATAACAAATGTAATGGGGGAAAACCAAGATGTGAATTCCTCAGCTCGTGCTTCTTCTGTATTGGTACTGTTCCAATGCCACAGGGCATGTTGACAACCTTCTCTTTCTAGCTAGCCCTATGGCGGCGTACTATAGCTTGCCAAGACAAGAGTTAGAGTCCCAGATCACCCATCTCAGAGGAAGGAGCAGTCTCTCACAGCTTAGTCCTCTATCTCATAATAAGCCCACATTACCTGCAAGCAAAGAGGGGGGAGTGAAAATGGCCATGGCTCACATCAACTGCACCAGTATTCAACAACCCACCATTCTGTTGGCCCAGGAGGAATGCAGCCTGCCTCAGCCATGAACCCCCATCACTCAGAAAAACCTCTATACACGGAAGTCAGAAGTGCACGCTAGCTTTATGTTACTGACATAGGGATCTCAATTTGTCCTACTGGGGCAGCTTTAATTCCCCCATGTATACAGGAACTTTAGGCTGGGTTATGAATCTGGCCCTTTTTTTTTCAGTTGGAGGCACTCTTCAAATCAGAAGAGTCCAGTTCTGGGACTGTATTTGAACGAATTCTAGTCTATCTGAAAGGACTTTTTTTTTCAGTTGGAGGCACTCTTCAGATCAGAAGAGTCCAGTTCTGGGGCTGTATTTGAATGAATTCTAGTCTATCTGAAAGGATAGCTACTAGCATGGGATGTCTATGATCGAATTACTTCTATTCTCAATCGAGTAATGTAAACAGAGAAATCAGGGAATGAAGAGTGTAGACTCATTGATGCAGAGATACTTTATATGATACTGCCAATGATCAAAATAAGGACAAGCATGAAAAACCAACGTACAGTTTAAAAATCCAACTCCTAACAAAAGAGTTTTTACGTGTCAGAGTGCTGCACAGTGACGTTATCCCCCAAAGAAAGATAATGTATAGTATTGATATCCCTGCAACAGAATTAGGAGCTAAGACATTATTGCCAAGTAATAAAAGTCAACAGGCAAGGGGTTTCAATTGTCGCCATGAATGACAACGAAGACGGAGAAGACACGCTGCGGCTGCTGAATTATGTGGATTACTATCAAGATAAAATATAAAGTCTATGTTTTTTAGGATCAAAAGAGATTAACAATGTCTTGAGTATGGGATTGTGAATTCTTTGGATAAATGAAGAAACACATTTCTGACACAAATGCCCCTGGAGGATTGACAGCCAGATTGAATTTGGCCTAGTGCGCTGTTGACAAATGCATTTCATCCTTCTAGAGTAGGAGATTTAAAATAGCTCACTGTTGGCATAATTCTTCTCCCACTAATGCCAGTGGTAAAAACTGTAACTGATTATTGTAAAGACATGAGAAATAATTCTTCCATTCTACTCTATGCTGATTAGGCCTCAACTGGAGTATTGTGTCCAGATCTGGGCACCACATTTTAGGAGAGATGTGGACAAATAAGAGAAGGTCCAAAGAAGAGCAACAAAAATGATTAAAGATCTAGAAAACATGAGGGAAGATTGTAAGAACCCCTGTCTAGATCAAGGGTGGGCAATAATTTTCGAAAGAGGGGCACTTCACAAATTTTGTTATGTAGTCACGGGCTGGCTCTGGGCCCCTAGAAGTGGGGGAGTTTCGGGCAAAAGGGGCTGGGGACTATATAGAGAGAGAGTGTGTGTGAGTGGGAAAGAGAGACACTGTGCATGAGAGACAGACTTGGTGACATAGTTTGAGTGTGTGCGGCAGTGTGTATGTGACAGTGACTGTATGGCACAGACTGGGTGTGTGACACAGAGACAGTGTGGCACACACTCTGTGTGCGTGTGCATGACAGTGACAAGGTGTGTGTGCTGGCTGATGCTGGGTAAGTCTGAGAGCAGCTATGCACTGTGTTTTTAGGGGAAATCTGTCTTGCTTTGTTGTCTCCCTCCTTTCCTGCTCTGCACTTCTCTGAGTCACTTACATGCTTCAGACTGGAACAGCTTTGCCCTGTGTTTCCCTCTCTCTGACCCCTGCTCTACAGATAGGGGGTATAAGGGCACACCCTGACTTCAGCACTCCCCTCCCCTCTGCACAGCTTTCAGGAGAATCCTGGGAGCAGCTGGGCTGCAGGACAGAGCAAGGTGGGGGAAGGAAAGCTGAACACATGCTACCAGTTGTAAGTATGCACCTATGCTAATCAGCTGGGTGGGCCAGAGAGAAATCCTTGGCAGGCTAGATCCAGCCCTCAGGACTGATTTTGCCCACCTTTAGTCTAGATAGTGCTTGGTCCTGCCCTAAGTGCCAGGAAATGGACTTGGCGCTCCAAGGCCTTGCACCCCCCCCAAATGAAGTTGGAGCCCCAGTGCTGGATTCCCACTGTGAGAGGGGGAGCCCTAAGCCTCACAGGCCAGATCCAGCTCATGGGGGCAGTAGACGGCCATTCCTCCTTCCTCTTGTTGGGGGAATGGCAATGCAGGGATGCGTTGCCTGAAGGCTTTTCCTATTGTTTCCATTGGCCAGAATCATGGCCAATTGGAGCAGAGGGAGGCGGTGCCAGGGACACACCGCTTGGGAGTGGCAGAGGGCACAAAGCCAGGTAAGTGACCCCCCAACCTTCTCATGCCCAGACCCCGCACTCCCATCCCCCTCACACATACATCCTGCCAAGAGCCTCCCACCCCCAGCCTGCTCCTGCACCCAGCAGGGCCAACAGCTATGGTGGGCCACAGGCAAGGTGAAGGGGCCAGTTCCACAGTCAGTCCTTAGCTCCACCCTAAGGCTCCCTAGCCATCAAAGCCATGTGGAGTGGCACTCTGGCACTCCTGCAGCAATTCAAAGGAGCATCTCTTCTCACTGTTGGGAACCCGGGCAGGAGTTTCTAGTGGAAAAGAGCATGGAACAGGGGAGTCCTTTGCCAAAATTCGGCCACTAAGGGAAGGCCATTAAGGGAAGGATTCCGGGCCTCAGCTGAAGTCACCTTCTCCCTGAACACTGCCAAACCAGCCTGCCAGAGATGGTTCATTATCCTGCCTGGGTCTCATAAAGGTACTTTTATGGAGCAATTCTGGCTTTTAGAATGCACCAGACTATAGCAAATGTCAGGGGTTTATGAAAAAATATCTCTGTACAGGATACCTCAAAAGTCTTAGAAGTTTGGAAAGGCACTTCCGGCCCCTTCCTCAATCCAGACACGCTAGATCCTCACAACCCCACCAGTGTTGTCCACAATCAATAGGCTCTGTAAATTTTTCCCAAGGAGCAAGGTAGGACAATGCCCAGGAAGGACACAAGTTGCTGTTATCTTTTTGCCCAAGTTTCTACCTCCCGCCTGAATGGAAAAGGAATCCACTTCTTGCCAGGGCTTGGATCCTCGCTCTCTGCCTTCCCCACTGCCCGGGGAATCTAAGGAGGGGGGACTTTGTGGGCGCCCCTTGTTAAAACGTTAGCCTGGCGGCATGTGGGGCTATCACCCCTTTTAGGGCATGAAGTTTCCAGGCGTGTGGGGCTGAGAGCAGAGGAAGTTTGGGTCCCTCTTCTCCCCTTACCTGCCCTGCCAGGGCGCTGGGACAATTTGCATAGTGGGGGCCATTGAACCAAACTGTAAACCTGTATATGAGGGGCACCTTCCCCCTTGTTAAAACGTTAGCCTGGCGGCATGTGGGGCTATCACCCCTTTTAGGGCATGAAGTTTCCAGGCGTGTGGGGCTGAGAGCAGAGGAAGTTTGGGTCCCTCTTCTCCCCTTACCTGCCCTGCCAGGGCGCTGGGACAATTTGCATAGTGGGGGCCATTGAACCAAACTGTAAACCTGTATATGAGGGGCACCTTCAAGCCATGGGGTGCCTGGAGCCAGTTCCAGCCCCTATGCCTAGGGCCGGCA